TATCTGGGTTTTGTTGTTTTGTCATTATAGAAAAGCTCTTTTTATAATTGCAATTCAGATTTTTTTAATTTTTTTTTTGTACTTGTTAATTTTATGAGCTGTAACTATATATCATACAGTTATCTCTCAATGTGACAAATCTGGCGCTGGTGAGAGTTGATCAAGGTAATTAATTCTTATAAGGATTACTAATAAAAATCCATTAAAGTATAAAGGTAACTAGTAATTGAGTCATGAGTGTCATATAACCCACATAATAAACATCATCTTGAACAACCACTAAACTAATCCAATGTTTTGTATGCTACTTGATCATGTTTTATATATATATATATAGATACCTAAAACGAAAGGTTATATTTCTTCAGTTTCACAAAAATTATCATTTTGACATATATCATATAAACTAAGAAAAGTTTAAGTTACACATGTATTTCGTAATTTAATACGTAAATGATTTAAATAAATGATTTATTTAAATTCAATTTTGAGTTTAGGGTAAACTAAAAATGTAGAATATCACTCTTTGTTATAAAAAAAGAAAAATTGTGAACAGAAGGAGTATATATTATTATTCCGCATTGTAAACTAAAATTATACACATGGCGCTAATCAAATATTGTGCAAGTATAATAAATCCATAGAAAAGCATATCACACTAATCAAAGCCTGTTGACAAAAAAAAAAAAAAAAAAAAAAACTAATCAAAGCCTTGAATGGAGGAGGAAAAAGAATTACGTAGTATAGTGTGATGAATTGGCTCAAATTTTTCAAACATATTCTATTATAGAGGTCCTCCTAATACAAACAAAATCAATTAAATCAGCTCAAAAGAAAAAGCCAAGTCAAAATTTGATTGTTCCATCCACTAAATATATACGATTTTTTTAGTTGTGGTCAAAATTTTATGATTTTGTTATATGTCATACTAATATTTTGTAGAACATAAGAAAAAAAAAATCAAAACACTCTCTCAAAGTAAAGAAATTATGTGTGAATATCAAATCCAATAGACAGACAGTACGAAAACATAAAGCTCAAACCGAAAACAAAATCAGAATAAAATCTTAGAGCAACAACAACAACACATATCGATATGTCGTCGACACGAGGATAGTATTATATTGTACTATAGTGTATCTCTTAAGATGTATACGTTGTCGCCATTTACACTTATTTGTCAAAGAAACCTTAATTTCTTCAAAGTAAGAAAAATTTGCGAAAAAACATATGTCCTTAGATTGAGGAGCTTTTTAAGACACAAAGAGAATTTTAGTTTTGCATATGTCTGTCTGAACACACACACCTATTCATTAATCTATGGAAGCCTTGCCATTTGCAACACTTAAAAGGTCCAAAAGGAAAACAATGAATGATTAAGTAATATATCTATAATTACTTTTACAAACAAATATAATGATATATGTTTATCTTTGAGTAACTTTTTTAACTCCTGTTTGTGTGTGTGTGTGTGTGTCTCTCTCTCTCTCTCTACTTATGAAATTTTTAACTTTTAAACCCCAGTGAACTGTTGTTAATAGTGACAATTCACATGATTAACGCAAGGGATTATTAATATTATATATTGTTCCTGTTAGTTATTACTACTACATTATTTTTGGCTCATTCTCGGGAAACAGAGAAAAAAAAAACAAATGTTTTCGATTACGATATCAATTTCATCTTTAAAAGAAAAAGTTTTAGTCCAAAGTTTCGGCTTAGCAAAGCTTTTTTTTTTCTTGAACTTTGAGGGAATGTCCTTAAAACGAGTTTGATCATCACATGGACGACGTAATACCACATATAAATTCAATTCCCTGTGTTCTTTCTTCTACAATGTTAAACACTATACATACATTTGAAGATATTTTGTGTAAAGTCGGACTTTTAAAAAGATTTTTGCCACACGCTTTATTTACCTCTTGTTTGCAAAAATGGGTTAAATGGGATGGGGTTAACTTCATATTTAACACTCCTAATCAAACTCAATATATATTTTACAATATTTATAAGTTTAACTACAGACCATGCATGTTTTAACTTTATATAAACAGTAGACTACAAAAATTTACGTTAGATTTGTCCACATCACCATTTATGTTAATGATGTACCTTTTTTTTTCTCTGTGTTGTAGTTGGTGTAAATTTAATATATATTACCTAATCTTATCTTCTTCGAAGCCGATCTAGGAGTTAGTAACCCTCTTTTCACGTCCATTGAGTTAGTAACTTTGAACCAACAAATTCACATGACCATATATACAACTATGTAGTCTTTGAATTCGCGTAACTTGAATTCATGTTGATCAAAACTCAAAAGTCAGTTACGCATGTTTTGTATAAACTTATTAAAAAGAATATTCGATTAGCCTATATTTTGTCGGCATTATATATATAACAAAACTCAACTCAAGAAAGAAAATGAAAATATCAAGAACCAACTAATCCTAGTCATTCCTAAAACACGAGATTGTTGCCTTTGGCTGAGACACTTTTTGATCATCCTTTTGAACAAATTTCGTGTTATACGTCTTTCTCTTTTTATTTTTCCCGTCTTCTAAGATAAAAGAAACTAAAAGATTTAAGGACACAAATTTATCGTGAAAACAGTTGAAGCATCCACCAGAAAAAGTGGAGTAAAAGAGTTCGATTTTGAAGGTAACCTATGGAGCGAGGCTACTTCTGTAAAACTACGTACAAATCAGTATACATAGACACTCTTCTTGGACGAGAAACCTAACCCTTTAATAATTGCGCTCCTAGTTGTGGCAGCGCAAGGCCTTGTAGTCAAAGCAATGTCCTCTTTATTATTTATAGAAAATCTAACTCTACACTTTGAAGAAATATATTGAAATATCATAGATGAATTCTCAATGTTTCTTTTTTAACATAAAGCTAAGTCTAGCTATATCTTGTTTTTTTCTCTAAACATTATGGGTGGTAATCACGGTTAGACGTGGTTTTACACCAATCATATAAATGTTTTCGTAGATTGTAATGTTTTAAAACCGGTATAAACCTATAGAGAAGTCTAACTTTGTTTTTTTTTATTTATGAATAACCAAAGAAGTTTTGATTGAATCTCTGATTTTTCCATTTTCACATAGTAAGAGAGAAGAGACCACACCATGTTTATAAGTCAACATTTTGTCGGTACTTACACTCGTGACATTAAAGATTTCCTCAACGTTAACGTTGGAATTATTCTCATTATTATGGGTATTCAAAATTAATCAATTCAAAATTATATAGCAAAAAATTTTGTTATAAAAAACGCAAAGCATTTTTCTTCAACAGCGGGACTAACCAAAATATGATTATTTCGATAAATGGAATATCATAACAATTTGGTTAAAAAAACAGAAAATATTGTAAATGCATACAAAATTTATACAAACATAAGTAAAAGACATAATAATGCTCGATCAGTACTATATATATTAGCATGGGGTGGAAAGGTGCAACTGGCAATATCCGATCCATGGTTCTGACAACTTGGTCTATATATATATGCACTCATTGTTAAGATCATTCATTATTACACCGCTTGGTTCTCAGATTCGAGAAGGGATCTAACTCTTTTCTAATTACTTACTTATTCGGTTTGATTCGTTAATGATATGTAATTAGTTATAAAAAAAAGTAGTATAAAGTATATCGCAACGAATACGAGATTACATATTAATCACAACCATTATAACTTACACTCATATCTACTACTCTTCTAGCCTTCCATCTATATTAGACTGTGTTTTGCCTTGTTTACTCCCGTATACAACAAAGGTGGAGAATGGTTAGTTCACTTTCATAAAAAAATATCTCAAAAAAGAGTTTCTGCAATAATGAAAAGTTAACACAATAATAGAATATTGAGTGGGTATCTTGAATACTTTCACCCTTGTTAACAATAGAAATATAATGTAGCTTTATGATTTATTTTAAATCCGTCGGTTGCAACAAAACTTACAATTGAAACTAAAGATTATTTGATTTCACAACTTATACTAAGACAAAAATATACTTTTAAAAATAACATGAAATCTGCACTTGTTTATAAAAAATAGTATGTAAATTCACAAGATTAAATTTTATATTTTTTTTTTGAGAAAATCAAGATATTATTTTTACTTATTTATGATTAATCACTATATATGGTCTGTGCAAATCAATGAATTAGACATATGTCCAGTTTTTAACGCAATGCATATTGTTAGTAATCTCTATATTAACTGCATTGGCCGTTTTAGAGCTAGAAAGTGGAGTATATGTTAATGGAAGAAGATACTTAGAAGTTTGCCTATTTTGATTATTTTCTGCCTAAACCTGCTAAATTTCTTATTAAATGTGAATTCAATACAAAAATTGTAATATATATTAACGTTCCTTTTAGCGGGCACGTAACTTCTTAAAATTTATGATTTTATTGTCTCAATTATATCAATTAAATATAAAGCTTAATTTAATAAAAATATGAATTTAATACTATACTATTCCACTTAATTAAAAATAAATAAAAAGTTTGACTAAATATTAAGTAAACTGTTACAAAATAAAATAAAAAACTTTGAACAAATGTTGAAAAAGCTGCCAAAAAAAACAAAAATCCTATTTATGGTAAATAAAGTTAAAACCTCATCAAATCATCACTCAATTGTTTTAATAAAAATCATTAGGGTAATAAACTCATTAGAGGCCTATATATATATTATCTTCTTCTCATTGGGCAGGCACAGATTCTGAAAACACAGAAGCTGAAAACTGAAAAAATAGAGAAGAAGAACCTCAAAAAAGACATAAACCAATTGTCACTTCTTACTTTTCACCCTTTTCTATTATTTCTTTTTACTACTCTCTGTAGAAAGAAAAATATCTCAAAAAAAGAAAATAAATCAATCACAAAAGGAATTAAATCTTATAAACGAGTGAAAATAAATAATTAAATTTTCACCATTTATATTATCCTCCTTCTTCTCCTTCCTTAACTCTTCATTTCCCTTCTGCTCCTCTCTCTCTCTCTCTCTCTCTCTCTCTCTTCCTAAGCTTTTTGTTTTCTCTCTCTCTCTATAACTTTAGAGAGAGGAAAGCCTCCATTTTTTCTCTCTAGGCAAATCTCTCTCTCTCCTTTGTTTCATAAACCCCATTATACACAGACCAAAGCAAAAAAAAAAAAAAAAAAAACCCACCATTGTTACACTGTAATAGAGAGGAGAGGAGAGGAAAAAAGAAATGGATGGTGTATCACCAAAGTTCGTGTTGCCGGAGACATTCGACGGGGTGAGGATGGAGATCACAGGGCAACTAGGCATGATCTGGGAGCTAGTGAAAGCACCAGTGATTGTTCCTCTTCTCCAATTAGCTGTTTACATCTGTTTGGTAATGTCTGTGATGCTTTTGTGTGAGAGGGTTTACATGGGGATCGTCATCGTCCTCGTCAAGCTCTTCTGGAAAAAACCCGACAAACGTTACAAGTTCGATCCCATTCACGATGATGAAGAGCTCGGTAGCTCCAATTTCCCTGTTGTCCTCGTTCAAATCCCCATGTTCAACGAACGAGAGGTTCTCTTTCTTTCTCTCCCTCTTATCTCATTCCTCTGTTTTTTTTTTCCTCTGTTGCTCCTCTAAGTTTCATGATTTCGAGATAAGTAACCTCAGATTTTACGGAAGATTTTAACTTTTCCCCACGTATTTCATATTCCTCCTCCGCCGTTCCAAATCCCGAAACGGCGAGAGTCGTGACTAACTCTCATTTAGTATTTATTTCTTTATTGTTCTCTGAGATTTTGTCATTTTTGGGTTTTTCTGTATAAACCCATAGTTTAGGGGTTAGCTTATAGTAAGAAGATAAATTAGTGGACTAAAAGTGAAAAAGTTTGACAATAGACTTTTTTTTTTTGCCTTCCCCGTGATTTTTGCCGTGCAGGTATATAAGCTATCAATAGGAGCGGCGTGTGGACTCTCTTGGCCGTCCGATCGTCTCGTGATTCAAGTGTTGGATGACTCAACAGATCCTACTGTTAAGGTTATTATTAGTAAAAATTCTTTACTTGGTCCACTAATTCACACATTATTATTATTATTTCCACAACTTTCTCTAATTAAATTAGATTCATTCCCATCTTTTTCTCTCTTTCAAAAGATTAATTTCAATTCTTGTAATCCGGTGGTTAAGAACTAAGGAAAAGGAAAGACATTTTGTTGATGTGGTGGCGATATAAATGAGAATACTTAAAATGTGCAGCAAATGGTGGAAATGGAGTGCCAAAGATGGGCAAGTAAAGGAATCAATATAAGGTATCAAATAAGAGAGAACAGAGTTGGTTACAAAGCCGGGGCTTTAAAGGAAGGACTCAAACGTAGCTATGTCAAACACTGCGAGTATGTTGTCATCTTCGACGCCGATTTCCAACCCGAACCGGACTTTCTCCGCCGTAGCATCCCTTTCCTCATCCACAACCCCAACATTGCCTTGGTTCAGGCTCGATGGCGGTTCGGTAATTAACTAATTATTCTCTCTATCTAACTTTAATACAATTAAATTGTTGATAAGAAGAGTATATAGTTATTGAAATAGGTTCTTTCATTGATATATAGTATAATAGAAAAATATGACATTTGATAATTGTTGTTGTTGAGCAAGAGTCAGGGTCAAATACTAATGAATCGGTGTCTTTGTTTTATGTTCTTATGAAAAATTTAATGTTGTTTTTTTTTTTGGATCATTAAATGAGAGCTCGTGGTTTTGGTTTTTGTAGCTAGCTTAACTACATTAGTGGTGTCGGTGGTAGTATATGCCCTTCAGTGTTCTTTTTTTTGTTTCTTTACTTTTATTTTATTTTAATTTTATCGACTTTTCCTTTTTCTTGCTTACATCTTTTTCCATATTATTCACCTTTTTGGCTTTTTGAAATGGTCTTTTTCGCCAATTTTTGTATTTTTCTTTTGATATATAATAATAATTATTATTATTGTTATCTCCTCTCTATATATATATATTGTTGTCTGATTGAAGAAGTAGGGTTAGTTCTGTTTGTGTCGGCGGAGTAGCTGCACTAGTGTAGTAGTACTAGTAGTAGTAGAATCATTTTAAAACCAGTTAAAATAATCCACGTGTAAAAACCATGTTAAATTGTTTAAGTAGACCTTTGCCGCACAGGATTAGAAACTTCTCAAGTAAACCGGGTCGGATTAGTTGCGGAATCCCGGGTCAACGGATAATTTTCGCTGATGTCATTTCACGTTTTCTTTTTCTTTTTAATTCTGCTTCCGGGATTTCGGATCCGTCGGTCGATGAATCGAATCGGTTAAACCCGGGTCGGGTATTCGGTGTTTAGAAAGAAAAAAAAAACCTGTTGGGTATTTAGAAATTGTCGGGTCTCTGATACCTTCCACGTGCTCTTTGCCTTACTTTAAATGCTCAAGTGTTAGACCCCATCTTGTCAGTGTACTAGTATACAGTGTGAGTATCGAGTCTTACCGTGGACCTGCGTTTCTCTTGCCGACACTTGGTGCTAACTAGTGTATCTCATTTTCTTTTATATACTACTTATTAGACTACTATATAGTATTGTTTGGTATTTCATTTGTTTTTGTTTTATAAAGCAAGAGTCCAACTTAGTGAATTTTAATAATAATGAGAAAGCTATGTGAATATGATTGATTTATTAAAAGCTAAAAACAAAAGAGTAGGACGTTACTTCCTGATAGTGCCACATTTGGACCATTCTCTCACAAAATAATTTTATTAAAAAAAAAATCTTAAATAGAGAGGACTGATGTTTTTTTTTTCTTTCTTTTGTGGCAGTGAATTCTGATGAATGCTTATTGACAAGGATGCAAGAAATGTCGTTGGATTACCATTTCACTGTTGAGCAAGAAGTCGGTTCTTCTACACATGCTTTCTTCGGCTTCAACGGTAATTGTAAATTTTTTAATAATTTGATTATATTATATAGTAATGATGATTAATTAGTACATAACATCATTTAACTTTCACAAGGGATTAAAATTGTTTATTGAAAGTGAATATTATTAATTCTTGTCTATATTATTGATGTGGTAATATTATTAGAGAGGGTTAGGGTGAAGTAGTTGGTGTGTTGTCCGACCAATTGAAGCATAGTGTGTGGTCCCAAACACTTTTATTTTTATGTTTTTTTTTTGTTTTTTTTATGATGATAGTGTTACAACTGTTACTAGAAAACTGAAGGAACTATATAATAATTACAAGGGAATCGTATTAATTTATAAATTAATCAATCATTAATTGATTGAGAGAGGGAGTGGGGAATCTGAAATGTGAAGCAAGTTGGTGTTTTGTTTTGTTTTGTATATACTTAAGTCATTCCTTGTCTTATAAGTAAGATTTTGCAAGCTTGAAGAATCTATTGATCTAATTTAATTGGTTTTTAAGTTTATTTAATTAGTAGCTAGTGTAAGGGGACACATTCATTACTGTAGGACTTGTAGAGGAAGCAAATGAAAGGCAGATCTTAAATGTGTTCTTTGTCATTAATAATTTTATACAAACTTAAAATTAAGCTTATATTTTTTTGTTTAATTAACTTATAGGAACCGCCGGAATCTGGAGAATAGCGGCGATTAATGAAGCCGGAGGGTGGAAAGATAGGACCACCGTGGAAGATATGGACCTCGCCGTCCGAGCAAGTCTTCGCGGCTGGAAATTTCTCTACCTTGGTGACCTTCAGGTTTGTTTTTACTTTTTTTCTCTATTTTTCTGATTTTTTTTTGTTTCATAAAGACAACAAATAGTAGTTGGTGCCTTGGTGCAACAAGATACTTCTCTAGGTCATTAAACACATGATAGCTTATGTTTATAATCATTTTACCTTTTTAAGAAGCAAAGATATTTTGTTATTCCTTGTATAAAAATTGGTATACATCATAAATACGAGTCCCTTTTTTTCTGTATTAGGTGAAAAGTGAGCTTCCAAGTACTTTTAGAGCCTTCCGTTTTCAGCAACATAGATGGTCTTGTGGACCTGCTAATCTCTTTAGGAAGATGGTTATGGAGATCGTAAGAAACAAGGTAATGATTATAATTAATAACAAGTTTAATCACTCTTCTTTTATTATATTTTTTTAATTCTGATTACTCAATTTTCAGAAATTCTTTGAATAATCTGAGTATATGAATAATGAATGATGTTTGTGGTGCAGAAAGTGAGATTCTGGAAGAAAGTGTATGTGATTTACAGCTTCTTCTTTGTGAGGAAAATCATTGCACATTGGGTCACATTTTGCTTCTACTGCGTTGTTCTTCCTCTTACCATCCTTGTCCCTGAAGTTTATGTTCCGATTTGGGGTTCTGTTTACATCCCTTCCATCATTACTATCCTCAACTCCGTGGGTACTCCAAGGTGAGAGACTTGGTTATATTAGCTTGTATCTCAAGTCATTACCCTTTTTGTTTCTTCCTTATTGGGTTGCCTGTGTGCCAAGTAACTGCGTTTGCTACTAATACTGAATCTTTGATTATTGTATTTTGGGTCAAAAAGGTCGATTCATTTGCTGTTCTATTGGATTCTGTTCGAGAATGTGATGTCGCTGCACCGGACAAAGGCCACTCTCATTGGTCTGTTTGAGGCAGGAAGGGCTAACGAATGGGTTGTGACTGCTAAGCTTGGAAGTGGTCAGAGCGCTAAAGGAAACACAAAAGGGCTCAAAAGGTTCCCCAGGATCTTCAAGTTGCCTGATCGGTATGTTGTATACTTTCTATATATAGTATATATGATTTAGAAACTATCTAGGGATATTTCACTAAAAAAGAGTTATTACTTTGTGTCAGATTGAATACATTGGAGCTTGGATTCGCTGCCTTCTTGTTCGTGTGTGGGTGCTATGACTTTGTGCACGGGAAGAACAATTACTTCATCTACTTGTTTCTTCAGACATTGTCTTTCTTCATCAGTGGGCTTGGCTGGATCGGGACATATGTCCAGTAGAGTTGTGCTCTTTGTCAGGGAGGAAAAAGACAAGGTTTATTATTAATTTTCTGGGGAAATAAAAGACAATTTTCATGGAAAATGACGGTTTTGTGGGGAAGATAGAGAGAGGGAGACGTACCGGTAACAAAGTAGGGAAGACCTTTATCACAGAGACAAGGGAAAGAGGAGAAGCTCCAAAGTGTTCTTTTGATTTATTTTTAAAATTTTCTGTGTTTTTACTTTTTATTTATAAATATTTTAGCTATGGGATTTGTGAGATTTTTATTTTATTTTTTCCTTTGGGTTTTTGGTTTTTTTTTTTAAAGTGTTAGTTTTGTTTTTCTTTGTTGTAGAATTCAAGATTCTGCGTGAGTTACATGTGTTCGACTGATGCAAGGGGTCAAAATTCCCTAATTATCATCAACAATTATCAAATTTTATAGTATTTAATTTACGATTAGTGAATGTATTTACCACATTTGGTACTGCACATCACAGTTACTAATTTACCTTTTGATGTTTGATTGATATATATTTTTTTTACTCTTCTTTATAAATATTGGTTCAAATTGTTTAATTTTTAAAGACAATTTCACATCTCTAATTTTACGGTTTAAGTAGTAAACCGCAAAATGATCGGGATAAAATTGAGATGACCCTTCAAAATCCCAAATTGACTGTGATTGTGTGTGCGCCTTCGTCTCCCGTCGTATCTTCCGAAACACAAAACCCTAAATTCTTCGTCAGGTGACTTCATCTTCTTCGTCAGGTGACTTCATCTTCTTCGCTACGCTCCAATTGTGATGATTTGTTTCTGAAATTGTTGTTAATTGCGTCCTTGTTATTCTCAAGTATCTGAGGTTGTCTCTGTGGAAATCTTCAGTTCCATTTGTGCGAGCAAATATGTTGAGAGGCTATTCAGACTATATTGAATATATGAAAACGAAACAAGTATGCCGCGAGTGGCCGCCGGCGCCGGGAAGTTACATAAGTGGAAGAGAGGATCTGATAAGCAAATTGCCTGATTCTTTGATATCTGAGATACTCATGTACCTTCCCACAAAGGAAGCTGTTAGGACTAGTGTTTTGTCCACTAGGTGGAAAAGTCTCTGGCTTTTGATTCCCAAGTTGGATTTGGTCGCTAGCGAATTCCCAGATTCCAGTGCTTTTGTGAATTTTATGGACAGGTTCATTGATTTCTCTAGGGAACACAAGTCATGTTTGCACAAGCTTAAGCTGAGTAGTCGGAAGAATGTGAATGACCCGCATTGTGTTGCGCGTTGGATTGACTTTCTTGTTAGGCGTAACCTTCAGCATCTTGATGTTGAGTGTCTTGTGAATCGTAAGTTTTTAGAGGAGATGCCCTTGAGCCTTTATGTATGTGACACGCTGGTATACTTAAGACTCCACCGGGTTTCGTTGGGTAAGTTTGAGTCCGTGTCTTTAACTTGTCTAAAGACTATGCATTTAGAGGAGAATGTGTATGCCAATGATGTGGTTCTAGAGTCACTTATCTCGTCTTGCCCGCTTCTCGAACATTTGAGCATTCTTAGAATGGTACAAGATAATGTAAAGGTTTTACGAGTGCACTCTCAAACATTAACCAGTCTTCGTATAGACTTTTATTTTGGTGAGGATGATGACTACGTTGATGATTTTGACAAAAAAGACTCAGGGGTTTTGATTGATGCCCCTAGACTTGAGTATTTGAAATTTGAAGATGATCTATCGGAGAGTAAAATCATTACCAATTCGGGTTCCTTAGCCAAGGTCAATGTTGTATATGTCTTCAATGAGCATGATTCTGCTGATGTGGCTGACTTACCAAAGCGAAATATGGTCCGTAATTTTCTTACCAGTATTTCGGGAGTTAGGGATATGAAGATCTCTGAGCCTTTTGTGGAGGTATACATATATACATATATCTTGTATTTAGTGTTCCTTCATGAAGTTTAGTTTTCGCTCACTTATCTTTCTTTTTTTGGTGAGCAGTTTCTCTATTATAACATAGACTTCGATCCACTGCCCCAGTTTTGCAACCTTTCGTGTTTAAAAGCGAAGTTTTCCTTACATTACCTGGAAATTCTGCCAACCCTTCTTGAGAGTTTTCCCCATCTAAAATCACTCGTCTTGGTGTTGGTAATGACTTGCACAACCCTATAATTTGTACTCACTTACTTGAAAGAATGTGTTATCTTATACTCATTCCTTTTTTGTTTGGTTGGAATGTTGTGTTTATTTAGGATTTTGATCAGGAGAGAGAGGACGAGGATGTGCAAATAAGTTTCTCATCTGTACCTCGGTGTTTGGTTTCATCACTGGAGTTTGTAGAAATGAAATATTTCAACGGAGGGCCTGCTAAAATGGAAGTAGCAAGGTACTTTTTAGAAAACTCAGGAGTACTCAAAAAACTTGTTCTGCATTTGAGGTGTTTCTCGCATGAAGAAGGATTTTACATGTTAAAGGATCTCCTTGCATTGCCCAGAGGATCTAGTACATGTCAAACCATAGTTTGTTGACGGCTTGAAAGGTTTTAGGGGGGTCTATGATCAGATTAAGAGTAGCATTTCCAGCTGGTTATTTAAATTGGACTTGGATTTTTTTTTATGTTGTTTTGTTGCACTCTATTATGATGTCTTTGTGATCTTTTGGCTACTAGTTCTGGATGATATTTGAGAGTTCTATGTGGCTTTTGCCTTCTCTTAAGCCATCTCTACATCATCAGCATGTTTAATAGCAAAATAGTAAATTGCCACATGACAAAAAGAAAGTGAAAAGAACCTGCCCCGAACATCCTGCAGATTTGTCGAGAGCAAGAAAGGATTTGTTAAGCAAATTACTTGACTCTTTGACATCTCAGATTCTCTTTTATCTTGGGAAAAAGAAAGCTGTTACCACTAGTGATTTGTCCAAAAGGTGGAAATGTCTCTAATTTTGAGCGCTAGTGACTTTCCGGATTACAATGCCTTTGTGAGCTTTCGTGGTCATGCTTTCACAAGCTCAAGCCAAGTATTCGGAAGGGTGAGAATGATCAAAATTTCTCTCACACGTTGGATAGGTTTGTGCGACTACGCCTAAACTTCAGCTTTTGAAGCTTGAGTGTTGGGAAGTCTATATATATATGCTAATGAGGCAGGTCTAGAATCTCTTATCATGGTGCTTTATTAGAAGGGCATAAGATAAATGTTTTACGATTGCAGACTCTCAAGACATTATTAACCAGTAGAATGTGTTCTCTTTTATTTTATAATCTTTAGGTATCTCTATATTTTGCTTTTAATTTTATCTAAAGCGAAGATCGCGGGAAATGTTAGATTCTTCGGAATATTATTTTCCAAAATCCTAACCGGAGACGATGCACTCTCAGAGAGCTCCAGTGCTAATTTCTCCGGCGCGCGGCGAATTGACGGTGAGATCTTATTTGTTAATTTTACATTCGTTCTGTTTAAGTCCTTTACATAAAATTCAGGAAACTACCAAATCCCCTACTCGAGGAATCAATAATGTTGCTATTCAAATTCGTTTCTTGATTCAATAATCTTTTTTGTTTTAGTTTTCAATTTCGTATTGTGATATGCAGATCTCTACGTTCAAGTACTCAGCTGTTTGAGTCTTGAAGATCACTGCTCGAAAAGTTTCGTCATAAGCAGTTTGAGTTCACCTGCCAAGGTAGATACTGATGTCAGTTTTGATTTGGTGGGAAGTGTATTTAGAAATGTCTCCTTAAAGAGAAGTGTAGTGAGGACCTTCCTCACTAGGCTCTCAGGCATTAGGGACATGACTATGAGTGGAACAACTTTGAAGGTATATATGTCAATGGAAGTAACGGAGTACTTGAACGTCTCTTTTGATGAAAAATGTTGTCTGTGCTTCGTGTTTGCAGATCCTATCTTACTACATAGTACACGAGCCGCTTCCCCAGTTTCCTAACATGACCCACTTCTATGCGGTCTTTTATAACTCTGATTTGCAAAAGCTTCCAATTTTTCTTGAGAGCTTCCCGAATCTCAAATCCCTTGTCTTGGTACTTTACCAGTTTACCTTATGACTTACTCACATCATCATAATAAGTATAACTGATCATCTACTTCTTGAATGTTTTTTATTTGCAGGAGCTGGAGGAATTTGAGAAGAACGAACTACTTATTCTCTCATCATCAAATCCAAAATGTTTAATGTCATCCCTGGAGCATGTTGAGATTCAACCTATTAGCGGAGCTGAACCGGAAATGAAACTAGTAAAGTACTTCCTCGAGAATTCGGCTGTTCTCAAGAATTTTACGCTGCGATTGGGTTGCAAGAGAATGGACGAAGAGCCTATCATCTTCATGGAACTTCTGAGATTTATGAGATGCTCTGCTTCTTGTGAAGTTGATGTTGAACTTGAAGGTATTTATCCAACATTCCAACTGTGATACACAAGTTCTTGTAACGCTTAAGTTTGCAGTTTCCCTTTTAGTATGGTTTAGTATTGGGATTTTATGTATATTTTACCCGAACCGGCTAATTTTTTATTCATAACGGTTCATTCTTTTATTTTTCGCAATCCTCTTCGGCCAATACACAAGTTCGTGTAACGCTTCTCCATCTCTCGTTTAGATTTTTATCTTATCTTTCCATCCAAAGCCATGCATTTCCTAAGAAGAGAGAATCTGTACACTCATTGTGGAAAATTTGTGAAGGCGGCGACGATCGCCGGCTATTGATTTCTTCGACTGCGAAGACTCAACGGTGATTTTTTAATTTCTCTCTTTCTCTCTATATGTGTTCATCTTTTGAGCATATCCGTATGTCAGATAAATAGCTGAATCATGAAATGATTTCGATATCTATATGGAAACCATGTACTAGCTCTTTAAAAAGTTTGGAATTCGCATTTTTGGTTGTGATGCAGATAACTTGTCTTGATTGTTTTTCTCAAAAGAGAAATCAAATGAGCAACCAAGGAGCAATTAAGAGATCTGGAGGAGATGGGCTAAGCAGCTTCCCTGATCATTTGCTAAGTCATATGCTCTCTTATCTTCCTACAAAGACTGCTGTTACAACTAGCACTTTGTCCCCAACATGGATAAATCTCTGGCATTCAACCCCTGTCTTGGATATAGAAATTGATGATTTCGATGATTTCGATGATTTGCTCAGTTTCACCTCTCGGTTTCTAGAATTCCATAAGGACTCAAGCTTACACAAGCTCAAGTTTTCTTTTGAGACAGAATTACGTGTTAGTATGTGTAGAATCACGGCGTGGCTCACAGATGTAGTTAAGCGTAAAATCCAACATCTTGAGGTCATGTCTGGTATGGATCATAAGGTTGATATGGCGCCTATGCCTATAGTCCTTTACTTATGTGAGACTTTGGTTTCACTGAGACTTCATTGCGTGGTACTGAGCTATTTCCAGTATGTGTCTTTGCCTAATCTCAAGATGATGCATCTCGAAGAGAATATATACATGTGTGAAGAAACTCTGGAGAACTTAATCTCAGCATGCCCGGTTCTTGAAGATTTAACCTTAGTTAGGAAAAGAGATTATAACGATGTTGAAGTTTTGCGGGTGCGCTCTCAGTCACTAAAAAGATTCAAACTCGTTGTTGATAGACTGGATTATATCGAAGGCGATGTTTGGAAGGTTATCATTGATGCTCCTAGACTCGCATATCTGAGGCTTGCAGATCCTTTTTCAGTGAGTTTTGTGATTAGCAATTTGGGTTCATCGGCAGAGGTGGATATTGATGTCGGTTTCAATGTGAATATTTGGAAGCTAGATGACTCATTCGAGAGAAGCGCTGTCCGTAAATTACTCACCGGGCTCTCAAGCGTAAAGGACATGGCCATAAGTGGAACAACTTTGAAGGTATATATAGATAGATAGATAGTTGCATTTTTAAATGTGTCTCTTTGGATGAAAATCAAGATTTATATGTGTTTGCAGATCATCAGTCACTACCTGAAGCACGAACGGATGCCTCAGTTTCAAAACATGACGTGGATACAAGCGGAATTCTATATTTCTGATTTGGGAATGCTGCCAGGCGTTCTTGAGTGCTGTCCAAACCTTATATACCTTGACGTGGTAATGATTGTTTCTCTCTAAAAACCTTATATATACGTTTCACTTCCACTGTTATCTTATTCATCTGTTTTGGGGATATGATAGCATATACAGAAATTGTATGATGAAGAAAATGAGGAAATCATTTTCTCATCAGTGCCAAGGTGTTTGCAAACAAGCCTTGAGGCAGTTGAGATTGTAAGATACAAACATGGAGATGGAGCAGAGAGGAGACTAACAAAATACTTGCTCGAGAATTCGCTAGTCCTCAAGAAGTTTGCACTGTATTTCGATTGTCCTAACGTGGAACAAGAAGATATCATCTATACGGAACTCGAGACGTTCGAGGCTCGTTCTCTTGCCTGTGAAATCGAATTCAGAGTACTCGAAAAGGTTTGAGTTGTTGGAAATGTTGTGAAACTTCTTTTACTTCTGCTTGCTTTAAACTTGGGAATCTTTGGCTCTGGTTTGGTTTTGTAATTCGGATCTGTTTGATTGCACTACAATTTGGATTTAAACTTATGTGGTTGCTTGAAATGTCATTTGATTTGGCTTTGCTTTTATGCTTTTAATTGAGCATTTGTTAAAGTTTATTAGTAAGTTTGTGTGAGCATTGGACATATCTCGTGGATAATATGTTTGAGGATTATTCCCAACATCATCGACTTTGACTCTCTCTATATGTTCTTGATTTGTGACTGAACCTGCAACGATACGCACAGTTTTGATGCTAGCTTGAGTTTGTAAGAGTAAAAAGACGGTGGCTCTAATCGGATCTTGAACGTGGTGTGTGGGCTTTCGAGGCCCAATAGAAAATAAATATTTGGTCAGCTATAGTAACCGTCAAACACACAGAATTGAGTTGTCGTTTTTAAACGTTCTGAAAACGAGGCGACTTATTCTCTCATCATCAATTCCAAAATGTTTAAGATCATCCCTGGAGCATGTTGAGATGCAAACACCTGCAAGTGGAGCTGAACCGGAAATGAAACTAGTAGAGTACTTCCTCGAGAATTCGGCTGTTCTCAAGTCTATCATCTTCATGGAACCTCTGAGATTGAAGAGATGTTCTGCTTCTTGTGAAGTTGATGTTGGACTTGAAGGTACTTATCCAACATTCCAACTGTAATACACAAGTTCTTGTAACGCTTTAAGTTTGCAGTTTCCCTTTTAGCATAGTTTAGTACTGGGATTTTATGTATATTTTTACCCGAACCGGTTATTTTTTAATTCATTACAGTCCATTTTTTACCTTTTCGCAATCCTCTTTGGTCAATACACAAGTTCTTGTAGCCCTTATCCATCTCTAGTTTTGATTTTTATCGTATCTTTCCATCCAAAGCCATGCATTTCCTAAGAAGGGAGAATCCATAGTCTCATTGTGGCAAGTCTCACTGGAAAGGCTGTGAAACTTTGGCTCTGGTTCGCTACAATTTGGATTTCATTCTGTTAAAACCTATGTGGTAGCTTGAAATGTCATTTAATTTGGTTTTGCTATATGCTTTTCATTGCGCATTTATTTAAGAGAACTTACAGTGCTATCATTAAGTACATCCAATAACACAACTATGTGAAGATTTAGAATCAAAGATTGGAAAGTGACATCCTATGTTCCTCCCGGGTTTGAAGGTTGGGCAAGTCAGTAGTTTCTTGAGCGGTCGTTATGGTTGTCTGAGAATATAACTAAAAGAAGAAGTCCAGTGATCTTTGTTATATAAAATTATGTGATTGATCCTATAACAGAATTATGAGAGCAAAGATATAGTATTGTGCAGAGGTTATGCCTAATGCTTACCCGCTTTCGCTTCCTGCTTCTCTTTGACTCTGCACTGATTTCTCCATACTCATCACCGTGTCCAGTCTCATGGTATCCACCATCAGCCATGGTTTTTGCATCTGCTTCGCAAACAGGTGCAAGAATATTTGGATCGTTATGGTGGTTCTCTGGTGATGTGCAATCCATGAGGAAGCGTATGCCACATCCTTTTATTTTGCAGCAAGAAATACTAGTGAAATGAAACTCTATAACCACCTTATCATTGTTCAGTTCAGCAATAGCAGCATTATCTTGGTTTAGAGGGAAACGAGAATCAAATATAACCAAATGACTATCCATATGAGATGTTAAGAAGGCATCTCGACAGTCAGCTGAATCAAAGTGGTTGCTGCGTTTACCACTCAAGCGACAACCTACTTTGATATCAATCACGTATAACTCGGAGGACATAGATTCAGCATCAAGCACGACGCAAGCCCTAAATCTCAAGAATCGTTGAGAGAGAGCGCTCTGAGTCTGATGTAATGGCAGAGGGGTGGCCAAAGAGCTTCCAGTAGCTTGGTAAGTGAAATACAGAGGCACTTGTCCTCCTGGAAATATGAGATACTTCAAAACTGATTGTTGCTGAACAAGTGCTTCTTCTTCTGTAGATGCTATGCAGTTTGAAAAGTCAAGCGTCTCAAGATATTTCAGTTTAGAGATGTTTGGAGACATACATTTGAGCTTTTTGCATTCCCTCATACGTAGACGTTTAAGCCTGGAAAATTTCTGGATCCACCAAGGAACTTCTTCGATCGCTGTTCGATTAAGATAGAGCTCTGAAACGTTACTTGAAATATCAGGAAACCTCTTCAACCGTGAGCATCTACCAAGATCAAGGCGATAGAGAGACTTGAGGTTGATGCCGGTTGGAAGAAGCTCTAGCTTCTCACATCCTTTCATGCCTAAGTCCCACAGTTTATTCAGATATCTAATGGAGGAAGGAAGTTCCACTAAACTCGAGCAACCGTTGAGATAAAGTGTCTCAAGATTGGTGGCCAACGACAAATCTGGGATTTCTTTCAGGTTTTTTGATCCCCACAAATGCATTTCCCTAAGGCACGTAAGCGGCTGGAAAAAAAATCAAAACATATGATTAAGTTAGATATGTCCCAAATGCATCAGTGGTCAGTTTTCGAATACACTTTAAAGGTTTCAATCTTGCATTATAAACCTATTTCCCCTCAACTTTTAAAGTATAAACTCTATCCATAAAAGAACAAGAAAACACATGTCTGACTATATACATATATGCTATTTAAAAGGTAATACAATGATATTCTAATCTTACCTGGACTCCTTGCCACAACTTTGCGAGCTTGCTGTGTTGCATTCTCAGTACAACGAGATGTCCAGCATGAAAGTTAGACGGCATACGCCTCTTCGGGTAGCCATCCCAACTCAGTAGTTTAAGTTTAGGGGGAAAATATTTGTCAAAGCCTTGTTGTAGGTGCAATCTGGCTTCTTTACTCTGCTTCCCCAATTTATTGTAAAATCTTAAGAACCTGAGATTAGGCATCCTTTTGAAGGCTCTCTTATGTATGTGCAACTCCTCAATCTCAGACATATCTAATGATATACCTATAACCTTTTTTGTACCCTGAGAAAAAGTTGTAAAATTAGATCAGACGATGTTGTAAGAGTTGCATAAGTAAATATCAGTTGAGTTATAAAATGAAAGCTTACAGTGTTATCATTAAGCACATCCAAAATATCCATCGAATCCACCAAAAACTCCCGTTCTCCAGGCTCGTCAATGGACTGTTTGCGAACAATTTCTCTACCCATTTCTTGCAACATGCTGTGCATCTCCACAGTGTCACACCCAATATGAATGAGGGACTTATCAACTAGGTTTTTTAGCCCAATGTTTACACCCAATACACTATCTGCAAGTAGCAGCTTGATGTAACCTATCTCGGCGCCATTAAATAAACATGCGATGAGACGAAATATTGCTTTGTCATCTTTGTTACTTAACCCATCGTAGCCAACTCTTAATATTTTCTCAATCTTCCCATCCAAACCTTTTCGAAGCCTTGGTAACATATCAATCCAATCCTCTTTGTCCCTCCCACGCAGATGCGAACCCAAAACATTAAGAGCCAAAGGAAGATTACCAGAACGCTTTGCAACTTCAGAAGCAAGCTCTGAGAAACCATCAGGTGGAAAATTTAGCCTGAAAGCAGATTTACAGAACATCTCTAGAGCTAGTTTATCAGATGGGAGACCCACTTCGTAGACAAGATCAATACCGTGAGCCCTTAAGAAGTGCTTATCTTGTGTAACCACAATGATTCTGCTCCCACAACCAAACCAATGAGTTTGACTGGCCAAAGCCTCTAACACCACTTGATCATCCAAATCATCAATAAAGATGAGAACTTTCATGTGCTTTAGTCTCTCTCCCACAACACTTGAATTAGATACCTTTATATCCTTTGTACGTAAAACTTGAGACAGAAAATGTCCTTGCAAATGAAGCTTGGCGTTGTAGCTGTCCATGTTGCCTCCACTATAAAATTCCAAACTCTTAGATACGAAAGCTCTGTCCAAGAAAACGCTACCTTGGAAGTGACGAGAGAGTCGACTAAACAGAGCTCTTGCAATGGTAGTCTTTCCAATCCCCGAAGGTCCCCAGATCCCAACCATCCTCACTTGCTTACATTCCAAGCACAACATTAAACTCATCTTCGTGATATGATCTTCGATGCCAACAAAGTCTTCTTCAAAGTCATTTGATATTGGAGCTAAGTTCAGTTTATCCGAAATATCATTGACAATATCTTCAACCATGGTTGCTTCGTTATCCCTAAACAAACAAAGAAACACCATTTCACTTCAAAAACACACCCAAATGTCAAAAGAATATATTTTTGTAAATCCATGAAGTCGTTGGTAGTACCAGTTCCAAGAATGAAACCCGAGGGTATTAGCTACATGGGTCAACGCTCTCCGCCATTTTTGTATCTCACCATCTGTTTTGGTTTGACAAGTGTTTTCAAAGACATTTCCGAACTCGCCACTCTGTTTCCTAACATGGGAAGGATCCAAACCATAGAAGACGGGAATCACGATTTGACCAAACTCCTCTTTACAGTTGACAATCTCAGACAGCTCGTTCAGGCACCAGCTAGAAGAAGCGTAGTTTTTGGAGAAGACGACGATTGCAATCCTCGAATTCCTAACCGCCTGTCTAAGCTCGGGGTCTAGCGACTGACTTCTCTGGATCTCGCTGTCTTTGAAAACACTAATCAATCTCCGATCAAGATCCTTTAGTAAGTGGCTGAGGAACGTTACACGGACATCTTCTCCGCTGAAGCTCGGGAACACGTCGTAAACCCAATTGCGTGAAGAAAGACCCATACTTTTAAGAGATCTTTCAACTTCGGCGATGGAGCCAAGCCAGCAACGAAACAACGATAGCGAGTAGAACCGTGAAAGCACTATAGCTTCTTCATCAACCCTAGTACAGAATTATCGCTTTCAATATTTCACTCTCTTTGACTTTGACTTTCTCTTTCAGTCTTTGTCTTTGACTCAGTCTCCCATGATATGCGTCGTTTCGGATACAGCATGTTTTTTACAGTTTACAACAAAAACGATTTTTTTACTGTGTATTTTTTCTTGATTTTTTTGTTTATCTAAAACAAAAATATCGCGGGAAATATATAACAGATAAATCAGAAGATGTTATTAGATTCTTCGGAAACAGAAAAGTTTCCTAAATCCCTAAACACTAGAAGACGAGTCTCCCGAAGCATTCAGTGAATCTGAGAAGAAAGCGAGGCCTCCGCTCCGGTGCTAATTTCTTCGGCGCCGGCGAATCGACGGTAAACTCTTATCTGTTGTTGTTCTACTCAAGCCCTCCTTTACTTTACATACAATTCAGGAAACCCCTAATCGAGGAATCTATAATGTTGCTATTCAAATTCGTTTCGATTGTGTTTTCAATTGCGTATTGTGATATGCAGATCTGTGTGTGTGTGTGTGAGAGAGTGAAACAAAACAATGAACGAGAGAGGAGTAAGGTTAAGAGGTGGTCGTATGATTGGGGAAGATAGGATAAGTTTCTTTCCTGATCATCTGCTGTGTGAGATACTCTCACATCTTCCTACAAAGGTTGCTGTTAGGACTTGTGTTTTGTCCAAGCGATGGAAAAGTCTCTGGCTTTCTGTTCCTCTGTTGGATTTGGGCGTTGAAGAGTTCCGAGCTGGTTACTCTGAATTTGCGAGAGTTCTCCATAGCTTTCTTGACATCTCTAGGGAGACACGCATACACAAGCTCATTCTTTATCTTACGAGAAATCAACGTGATCAGTCTTACTTGACGCAGTGGATCCACAACGCTGTTATGCTTAAGGTTCAACATTTGGATATTAATATATGTAGTGCAAGTTATGTAGGTACGAAGCTGATGCCCCTTTGCCTCTACACCTGTGAGACTCTGCTATCCTTGAAACTCTATCATGTGGCATTGCCTGATTTCGAGAATGTTTCTCTACCTCGTCTCAAAATCATGCATTTAAATGACAACATTTACACTAGTGATGCTCTTCTGGAGAATCTTATCTCATCTTGCCCAGTTCTTGAAGATTTAAAAGTTTTTAGATATGTAGGGATAGAGAACGTCGTTAAGGTTTTACGAGTACGTTGTCAGTCATTAAAGAGTCTCCAAATTTTTCTCCATAGTGTCTGGTATCAGGCTAGCGAGGATGATGATTGCAAGGTTGTGATTGATGCTCCTGGACTCAGCTGTTTGAATCTTGAAGATCACTGCTCGAAAAGCTTCGTTATAAGCAGTTTGACTTCACCTGTCAAGGTAGATATTGATGTCAGTTTTGATGTGGTGAGAAGTGTATTTAGAAATGTCTCCTCAAAGAGAAGTGTAGTGAGGAACTTCCTCACTAGGCTCTCAGGCATTAGGGACATGACTATGAGTGGAACAACTTTGAAGGTATATATGTCAATGGAAGTAACGGAGTACTTGAACGTCTCTTTTGATGAAAAATGTTGTCTGTGCTTTGTGTTTGCAGATCCTATCTTACTACGTAGTAGACGAGCCGCTTCCCCAGTTTCCTAACATGACCCACTTCTATGCGGTCTTTTACAACTCTGATTTGCAAAAGCTTCCAAACTTTCTTGAGAGCTTCCCGAATCTCAAATCCCTTGTCTTGGTACTTTACCAGTTTACCTTATGACTTACTCACATCATCATAATAAGTATAACTGATCATCTACTTCTTGAATTTTTTTTTATTTGCAGGAGCTGGAGGAATTTGAGAAGAACGAACTACTTATTCTCTCATCATCAATTCCAAAATGTTTAATATCATCCCTGGAGCATGTTGAGATTCAAACAGCTATTAGCGGAGCTGAACCGGAAATGAAACTAGTAAAGTACTTCCTCGAGAATTCTGCTGTTCTTAAGAAGTTTACGCTGCGATTGGGTTGTAAGACAATGGACGAAGAGTCTATCATCTTCATGGAACTTCTGAGATTTATGAGATGCTCTGCTTCTTGTGTAGTTGATGTTGAACTTGAAGGTATTTATCCAACATTCCAACTGTAATACATAAGTTCTTGTAACGCTTAAGTTTGCAGTTTCCCTTTTAGTATAGTTTAGTATTGGGATTTTATGTATATTTTACCCGAACCGGCTAATTTTTTATTTATAACGGTTCATTCTTTTATTTTTTCGCAATCCTCTTCGGCCAATACACAAGTTCGTGTAACGCTTCTCCATCTCTCGTTTAGATTTGTATCTTATCTTTCCATCCAAAGCCATGCATTTCCTAAGAAGAGAGAATCTGTAGACTCATTGTGGAAAATTTGTGAAGGCGGCGACGATCGCCGGCTATTGATTTCTTCGACTGCGAAGACTCAACGGTGATTTTTTAATTTCTCTCTTTCTCTATATATGTTCATCTTTTGAGCATATCCGTATGTCAGATAAATAGCTGAATCATGGAATAATGTATTTATCTATATCGAAACCATGTACCAGCTCTTTTAAAAGTTTGGAATTCGCATTTTTGGTTGTGATGCAGATAATTTGTTTTGATTGTTTTTCTCAAAAGAGAAATCAAATGAGCAACCAAGGAGCAATTAAGAGATCTGGAGGAGATGGGCTAAGCAGCTTCCCTGATCATTTACTAAGTCATATACTCTCTAATCTTCCTACAAAGGATGTTGTTACTACTAGCACTTTGTCCACAAGATGGATAAATCTCTGGCATTCAATCCCTGTCTTGGATATAGAAATTGATGATTTCGATGATTTCGATGATTTGCTCAGTTTCACCTCTTGGTTGCTAGAATTCCATAAGGACTCAAGCTTACACAAGCTCAAGTTTTCTTTTGAGACAGAATTACGTGTTAGTATGTGTAGAATCACGGCGTGGCTCACAGATGTAGTTAAGCGTAAAATCCAACATCTTGAAGTCATGTCTGGTATGGATCATAAGGTTGATATGGCGCCTATGCCTGTAGTCCTTTACTTATGTGAGACTTTGGTTTCACTGAGACTTCATTGCGTGGTACTGAGCTATTTCCAGTATGTGTCTTTGCCTAATCTCAAGATGATGCATCTCGAAGAGAATATATACATGTGTGAAGAAACTCTGGAGAACTTAATCTCAGCATGCCCGATTCTTGAAGATTTAACTTTAGTTAGGAAAAGAGATTATAATGATGTTGAGGTTTTGCGGGTGCGCTCTCAGTCACTAAACAGTTTCAAACTCGTTGTTGATAGACTGGATTATCTCGAAGGCTATGTTTGGAAGGTTATCATTGATGCTCCTAGACTCGCATATCTGAGGCTTGCAGATCCTTTTTCAGTGAGTTTTGTGATTAGCAATTTGGGTTCATCGGCAAAGGTGGATATTGATGTCGGTTTCAATGTGAATATTTGGAATCTAGATGACTCATTCGAGAGAAGCGCTGTCTGTAAATTACTCACCGGGCTCTCAAGCGTAAGGGGCATGGCCATAAGTGGAACAACTTTGAAGGTATATATAGATAGATAGATAGTTGAATTATTGAATGTGTCTCTTTGGATGAAAATCAAAATTTATTTGTGTTTGCAGATCATCAGTCACTACCTGAAGCACGAACCAATGCCTCAGTTCCAAAACATGACGTGGTTACAAGCGGAATTCTATATTTCTGATTTGGGAATGTTGCCAGGCGTTCTTGAGTGCTGTCCAAACCTCAAATCCGTTGTCGTGGTATGATTTTGCTTTGTTTAAAAAACCATATATATGTCACCGTTATATATAATAAAGAGATGTTATTTAACATATGCAGAAGCTGAAAGATGTAATGGAAAGGGAGGAAATAAGTTTCTCATCGGTGCCAAAGTGTTTGCAATCAAGCCTCGAGAATGTTGAGATAAGATCCGAGACTGGAAATGGAGTAGAGATGATACTATCAAAATACTTCCTTGAGAATTCGCTAGTCCTCAAGAAGTTTAAGCTCTGCAAAAGAATTTTTAGCAAGGAAGATAAGTCTCTCATCTTTAAGGAACAAGAGGCCCTCATCATTGAGGTACAAGAGTTTCTCATCATGATGGAACTCGGGACATTCAAGAGAGGTTCTAGTGCTTCTGAAGTCAACGTCGTTGCATTTTAATGAGGTTTGAGAGTTATTGGAGACGTTTTTAATTTTGAAAAGAACTTCAGTTTGGATTTGGATTTGGATTTGGTTCAATTTCAACTCTGTTGCACTACATTTTGGATTTGGTTCAGTTTCAACTCTGTTGCACTACATTTTGGATTTGGTTCAGTTTCAACTCTGTTGCACTACATTTTGGATTTGGATTTGGATTTGGATTTGGTTCTGTTTTAAACCTGTTGCTCTACATTTTGGATTTGAATTTGATTCCGTTTTAAACCTGTTGCACTACGTTTTGGATTTGGTTCAGTTTCATCTCTGTTGCACTAAATTTGGATTTGGTTCCGTTTCAACTCTGTTGCACAGCATATGGGATTTGGCTCAGTATCGATTCATTGTATTAAAGATAAATGTGATATGAGATCTGACACTTAGCTTAAAGTTGGATTTCGTAGAATATTGCACCAGTTAGCTCAATTTCGTAGTATTAAAGATTCACATTTAGGTATTTGACGAGATCTGACAGGAATATAAACTTGCAACTTTTGAGTCTGCTTTCTCATTCCAGCAATATTCATAAACTGAACTGAATTACATAGGAAAGTAGAAATTGCAATATTTAAAATAGCTATTCCGATACTAAGAGATAAATCTCTCAATAGAACAAAAAAGATAAAAATCAAAAAGCACCCTTAGAAGTTCATCATCTACTCAAAACCAAAACCCTTTCCTTGATCCACCTCCTTAGGCTCTACCCTTGCCCTTGCCCTTGCCCTTGTTGGAACCCTTGTTGTTAGACCCACCAAATTGCTTTTCCGAGTTGAATGGCCTGTACACACACAACATCATTAATCATCAATTTATCACACTGATTGCAAAAGGGCTTTGAGAAAGATGATGAAAGAGATAACTCACTTCTTGTTGTTACCACCGGATGATTGACCTCCAGACTTGGGGCTCTGGTTAGCATTCATAGGAGACTTACCACCTTTTTTAGCTGGGTGTGGCTGTGTGCCCTCCCTTCTTCTTCTCTTCTGTACCCATTTAACACAAAAGAGAATACAACAGAGTAAACAACAACGCCCTATGAAAGCTTTATGTGCCCCTTATTATAGTTCTACTCAGACTGTGACTAGTTAAACTATATAACAATCCCCAACAAGATTCAAGATTATACAGAGACAGAAAAAGTTTTATATGTAACCTGTCTTCAGAGGTGTAGCTGCTGGTTTTGCCTTCTTTCCAGAGACAGGCGTCTTGGATGCAGATTCAATTGGCCTCTTCTTGTTGACTGGCTCAGCCTATATTATTAAATCATATGAAACAGTGAAGTGAGAAAAAGGAGCATGTAGAAAACATGGTAAACAGAGCAAATGTTAGATAGACAATGTATCTACCTTCTTGGGAGTTTCCTCCTCCTCTTCATCCTCAGAATCATCCTCATCATCTGAGTCATCTTCATCGACATCCATCTACAAAAAACATAACCATAGAATTTATCACCTAAATACTCATCTTCTCATGAATGTATGTGGATATACTAGACATCTACAAAAACTCACTCCTTTCTCAGAGTCATCATCGTCATCAGACTCATCTTCCTCGTCAGAGTCATCCTCATCATCTTCTGATTCAGGCGCAACTTCTGCAGGCTTAGCCTTTGGCTTTGAGTCAGCCTTCACAACAGCAGCTTTAGCATTTCCTGAAACGTAAAGGACAATGACATTTGAGATGAGATGACAACTTTTCACGCAAAGAAGCAAAGACAATAGCAGCATCTACAATACATACCATTGGCAGGTACAACAGCAGGAACAGCTTCGGGAGCCTCCTCTTCCTCCTCTTCTGAATCAGAGAAATCCTCTCCCGTGGAAACACAACCAACAAGAATTAAGGAAGAAACAATTGAAAAGACAATGCAACTTAACATTTTTTGCATCTTTCAACCTTAATATACAGGCAAAGACCAAGCACACAGACAAATAGGTGAAGAAAAGGATATTGGTCGATGTTGGGGGATCTGTAGCCAATGAAATGGACATTTCCTCTAGTACAGTTGTGGGAAAGCTCAAACTCCTTCTCAAAGACAAGATCAAAGCTGATCTGAGGGAATTTGTCTTGTGAAAGGGTTCCAATGACAAGCTTCGTGTTGTCAACAGTCACAGTCAAGAGAACAGGTTCTGTCATCTTCCCCTTACAGTCAAGGGTTGCCTACCACATAGAGAAACCAGAATCAAACTACATGTTGCAGCTAATACTACGAAATTTAAACAAGCAGTGTAAAAAAATTGAAAGTAACCTGAGAAATGTGGATGAGGTTGTCTTCTTCAGGAGTAACCTTAAGAGGCGCACCCGATTTCACTTCAACTCCTATATAACATCATACAAAGAAATCAAAAACATGAGTCATTCATGTTTCACAACATTCATCATCTTGTTTACTAGGAAAATCATAGTTGATACCGAAACGAAACTCTGTGTTTAATACCTAGAGCATCAGAAAAAAAAACAAACCCTAAAGAAGCTAGCTACAAACGTAACGAAGCATGAACAGATACACGATTCAACAGTTTCAGAACGGAGTAGAAACTTTTGCGAGTAGAAAAACGAACACGAGATATACGAACAGAAGGATAAGGAGAAAATAAGAGTTTTTCATGAATAATCGATCAAATACTCGGAACGTGAAAACAGGAAACAGTAGACGAAGATACTAAGAAGATGAGAAGACAGATTCTTACCCCAGAACTCCATTATTGTTGAACGAGGAAGAGAAACGAAGTTGTTAGGGTTTTTTCAGGAAGCGAAAAGGAGAGAAATGCAGTAGAAGAGGCAGAGAAGAGGAAGAGGTTTTGGGGTCTTATATAATCGTGGAGAGGTTTAAGAAGAGCCTCCCTCTTAGGGTTCTTCGCGAGCCTCCACGACGTCGTTTTGGTGCTAATGCGCCGTTTGTAACGCTTGCATTATTTTTGGAATATTGCTTTTAATGCTAGCTTCTTTATTAAAATGGTGAAAATCCAAAATTAAAAATGGCAAATTATGAACCAAATATTTCGAGAAGATTCTCATAACTTATGATTTAATATAATAAAACAAAAAAATAATCTTTTCATTTTCTTTTTTTTTTTTTTTTTTTTTTTGACATCTAATAGACTTGTATTAGCTCAATCGAGCCAATTCAAGGTGCAGTTGGTTACATACTTGACTGGGTGCGGACTAACACGAACTCGTCGTGCCAGTGAATCCGCATGTACATTCAAGTTTCTCGGAATAAGTAATAAAGAAAAAGAGTCAAATTCTTCCCTATCTGTGTTGATATCATCCATGTATGTAGAGAACGCCGGCCACTCGGACGGAGAAGACACCATCTTCACCAAGTCTGAACAATCGGTTAGGAAAGTAACGTCGCGGTAGTTGTGACCAATCATGCATCGCATCGCCCAAACTAGAGCTTCAACTTCAGAGTGAAGTGGGGAGAGACTTCGACGGAGATTGGAGGCTCCTATTAATGGCAAAGAATCCCGAGGATGCTGACATACCCAACCCAAACCTGCATACTTATCTGTAGGCTTCCAAGATGCATCAATAAAACACTGATACCCTCTAACCAAAGGGGTTAAAGATATCGTAGACCTTTGCAACCCCGAAAGTAATGGGGTTGTCGGTGGTGAATCCAATTCTTCAATCTGTGCATCATGCCAGATTCGTGCTTCCTCATTAGCCACTCGAACTATGTCCAGCGGTGACTTATCCAAATTTTCAAAAAAAATTTCATTTCTCGCTTTCCAAATATACCATAATATCCAAGGACAGCACCTATAGTCCACAGTTCTTGTCAAGCGCATAATATAATCCATATTAGCATAAACTGAAGTGGTGGGAAAAGAAATAGGCCCCACTGGTACATTAGCCAAAGCCCATACTTGGCGAGCAGGTGAGCATTCAAAAATGACATGATTTACTGTCTCAACGGGATCACCACACCTGTCGCACCTGGTGTCACAGTTAATACCCCGTTTGTATAAATTTGCCAATACCGATATACAACCAGTCAATAGCTGCCACATAAAATGTTGTATTTTAGGTGGGCATTGCGCCTTCCATACAGCGGCTAGAAGGGGCACTATATCTGGGCCATGAACACTGACCCTTTGTAATTTTGGATCCGGCGTTCGAGCAATATGATATCCCGATTTCACCGTATACTTGCCATGTTTTATAAAATGCCACCCGTAAGAATCTGCTACCGGCCTATTGCCAATTGGGATAGCATTAATAATAGATACATCCTCCAAAGTAAAATGCTCCTGAAGGACCTCTACTCGCCATGAATTTGCTTGACGGTCAATTAGATTTCTTATCTGTAGTGATGGATCCATAATAGACCCATTACTTAAAGCTGGTCTCGGGAGATGAGATGGTATCCAGGGATCTGTCCAAACAGAAATAGAGTCCCCTGTTCCAACTCTTTTAATAAGCCCTTTGTTTACCAGAGATCTAGCTGAGATCATGCTCCTCCAGCCATAAGATGGAGAATATGATTTGATTGGTTCCATTGGGGTCGCATTCCTGTAATATCTACCTTTGAAAACCTTAGCAAAAAGTGAATCTGGATCATCCATTAGCCTCCATAATTGTTTTGCTAGGAGTGCCGTATTAAAATCATTAACGTCTCTGAATCCCAAGCCCCCCATTCCTTTACTTGAGCATAGCTTATCCCAGGTTTTCCAATGCATGCCACCAGACTGTCCATTAGAACTCCACCAAAATTTGGCTATCGCACTTGTGAGTTTTGCCGTTAAAGATTTCGGCAGTCGAAAACAAGACATGACATAAGTCGGTAACGCCGATGCGACTGACTTTATCATCACCTCCTTCCCACCTTTAGATAATAATTTGGCCGACCAGCCATTAATGTGAACATTTAATCTATCCCGTACAAAGGAGAAAACCTTCGTTTTTGCTCCACCTAAACTCTCCGGTAATCCAAGATATGAGCCCATGCCGCCTTCCTTTGTAATTCCTAAGATATTCCGAATTTCCAGTTTGGTAGATTCTTCCACCTTATGTCCAAATTGTAGCGATGATTTTTCAAAATTAATTCGTTGTCCTGACATATGTTCATAGTTCCTCAGCAGCTCTAAAATAACCATACACTGTTCCTTATTCGCTCGGCAGAAGAACAAGCTATCGTCCGCAAACAATAAATGTGTTATTGGCGGACACTTATTTGCCACCTTTATACCAGTTAAGAGTTTATCCTGTTCAGCTTTCCGAATATTTGCTATTAGAACTTCCGTGCAAAGGATAAACAAATAAGGGGATAATGGATCTCCTTGTCGTAACCCTCGTTCTGGAATAATTGTCCCCTCAGGTTGTCCATTAATAAGAACTCTGTATTCGACTGAGGTGATACAATACATTGTCCATGTGATCCACGTTTCTGAAAAACCAAATTTCCGGAGTAACCGTTCAATAAATACCCATTCAATCCTATCATAAGCCTTACTCATATCTGTCTTAATTGCCACAAACTTGCTTTTGCAAGAGGGGTTAGTCCGAAGACCATGAAACATCTCTTGTGCAATCAATATATTATCCGAAATCAGACGCCCCGTAACAAATGCAGACTGCGTCTCTGAAATTAACCCTGGGAGGACCTTTTTCAGCCGTTGGCAAAGAACTTTAGAAATAATTTTATAGCTCACATTACACAAACTGATTGGTCGTAATTCTGTCATCCTGATGGGCCTATCCACCTTTGGTATCAAACAAATATTAGTCTGGTTTAGCCTTTTATCAAACACTCCTGTCGTCAGAAAAGCATTGACCATATAAACCAAATCCGCCTTGATCGTTCGCCAAGCCTTCTGAAAAAACAAAGCCGTCATCCCGTCTGGTCCCGGAGCTTTATCCGGAGACATCATGAAAAGAGCATCATGAATCTCCTTTTCTGTAGCTTCTGCCGTCAATACCTGGTTTATATCGTCCGTAATAATGGCATTGATCTCTTGTAAACCTTCCTCTAAAATCTGTGGAGAGGTGGTTTGAAAGAGATCCGCAAAATAAGTTACAGCTACCCGACAGATGGCCGGAGATTCTGTCACCCAAGTGTTATTAGTATCATATAAGCCAATAATCCGATTTCTTTCCCGGCGTTGTTTTGTTTGTGCGTGGAAAAATTTGGAGTTCTTATCACCAACACGCATCCAGCTGTTCCTGCTTTTTTGTTGCCAATATACCTCTTCGTCCTCATATGCCTCGCGTAACCGTTTTGATAGTTCATAAATTTCCGAGGGCAAGCTTGCATCATCCCTTTGAGCAGCCTCTAATTTAGTTTTTAAATCTTCAATAGTTTCCCTTCCAAACGGCTTCTGTTCCCGACGCCATTGTGAAATAGCCCGTCTACAGCTGATGACTTTATTCATAAACATCCCTGATCCCTGGTTCGATACCTCGTTCCAGCCTTCACCGATTGCTTCCATGATACCCTCTTTACCTATCCATCTTTTATCAAATATAAACCCGTGCCTCCCTCTTGCCAGTTTCTCCTCAATAGAAGCTAAAACGGGTTTATGATCCGACCCAATCATCGGTAAATATTCCACTAAAGTCTTCGGGAACACTTCGTGCCAATCCTCATTACCGAGTGCCCTATCTAACCGACATCTAATTGGCTTCTTATCCCGCCACCCCCGCCATGAAAGCCAATCCCCAATAAAAGGAAACTCTAAGAAACCACAATTTCGAATTAAAGCATTGAAGTCTAAGAAGGTAGAGGCATGTCTCAACTTCCCCCCTCTCTTCTCATGATTGCCCGTGAGTTCATTAAAATCGCCAACCACAAACCAAGGAGTTGACCGATTTAGACCAATCCGTGTTAACCGCTCCCATACCATTTCGCGCTTTTTAGGAACCGGATCTCCATAAACAAAAGTTAAATGAATCGTTTTCCCTTTATATACCGTTTCCACATCTATTAAACGATTAGATTTAAATAAAATGGCAACTTTATTAATATTATTATTAAAAAATAGGGCCAAACCCCCACTACAACCAATAGGATCAACCGTAACCAAATCATCATAACCAAAATGAGCTTGAAATTTTTCTAAAAAAGGGGACAATTGTTTTGTCTCCGAGAGAAATAAAAAGTCGGGTCTATGGCTATTCCACAAATCCCTAAGATACCCAATAGTTGCCTTATTCCCCAATCCTTGGCAATTCCAACTCAGAATCTTCATTTATTTCCGTTGGGCTTAGGCGGTTTAGGCCCACCTTGACCTCCCTTATCCGCATCTCGTGGTCTCGGGTTATTGCCATCACCGGGCGGCACCGTGCTCTTTGGTGCAGAACGTTTGCGGGGAGAAGTAATGAGCTGCGCAAGGCGCTTTTTAGAACTCGCTCCCGCTACCGTGCCTGGTCGGCCACGCCGGCCCCTCTCCAGTCCAGCCACATCCCGGGTGGTGAAGTTTCCGTCACCGAGGCCCTCTTCACCCCCAACAGGCCCATCTAAGGGAGGCCCAACAGGAATGCCCCTCTCAGCAGTTATCTCCAGCAGCAGAGGCCCATCTTGGCCAGACCCACTTGAATCTCCTACCGTGATGATGCCAGGCCCATCTGGCGAAGGCCCATCAAAAGTTAAAAACCCAATTGCCTCTTCAGCACCAACGACTAGTTCTTCGTCTTCCACTTCGAGACCCACCTCATCACCATCTGGAAGCATGTCCTCCACCCCATGAGTCGGCTCATCAACATGCTCCGCTAGTGACACCATTTCCACATCCGTGTGCAGAGAAGATTCGTCAGATAACAGGAATGACTGAATCCTCTCGAGCTCCTCTGTCATCTGAACATG